ATCATGTTATAAACACAAAAAATTAATTCTACTTTTTTGGGAATTTTTTTCCCTGACTTTGACTCCTGGCAAAATTAATCCGCCGTTGAGTCAGTTTCGTGGCTCTGAAATAAAAGTCGAAAATGAATTTTACCAAATATATTCTTACTAGGATCCACTTTCTAATTTAATTTATTATATAATTATATTTAAAAAGTGGATCCTAGTAAGAATGTACTTGGTAAAATTCATTTTCGACCCTGTTTTTCACAGCCACGCAACTGACTCAATGGTGAATTAGAGAAATCGATGATGGAAAATTTTGCTTCGCACGGTCCGACTTTTTTTGCAATATCTCGGGAACCCGTTAATATTTTTTGCTGTTCTTGGTATCTATTTAAAGCTTAGATTACAAGGAATAGTCTGTGAAAGTATAACAATTTTTTCCATTAACTTTTCTAAATTTTGTCAGGAGTCAAAGTCAGGGTAAGAAATTTAAAAAAATAGAATTTTTTTTTGTGTTTATAACATGATACATATCTCCCTTCCTATTTGTAATACAAATTAAAATAGTGTAATTTCATTGGAAATTTAATAAGCTTTAGATTGCAATTTAAAAAAAGCATCTAGCTTCATTTTTGACGGAATTATCACTGTTTTTGTGCGGGTATGTTTCTTAATAGCGGTCACTATTAAAAATAGTGTTAGCGGTCGCACAATTTTCGCCGGTAGTGTAATCCAGACTTCCATTGAAACATACCATGATGTTAATGTTACAGGTAATAATTTTTAAAATACTTTACATTTTCTATAATATTATTATGAAGTTATTATATTGCGTTAATATGAAATTTATGTATGTCAACATGTTTTTTAATTAAAAGAGGAGGGCCCCTAAGGCCTACATTTAGGCCATTTGGTATTTTGATTTAAATGATTGAAATGTACATTTTTGCAAATAATAATTATATTGCTTCCTCGTGGAGGAAGCTTTGTAGTCGTTTAATTTACAAAATTTTTAAAAGTCCTTTAAACAAATTTTCTTCTATATAGGACTATGTTATATAAGACCCTGAACAATTGTCCGGATGTATGCGTGTGTGGATCCCGTTTTTGTGAACACGATAACTCTTAGAAGTTTCAACGAATTTGGCTAAAATTTGACAGGTATATTTATCATAAAAATATATCGAAATGGATTATTGAACTTTAAAAAATTCTCTGAAATAATTTTTTTTTTTTACTGTTTTCTAAAAAAAAATTTTTAATTTGGTTATTAAAGTTAATATAATATAATAAAATCTTATTCTTTACATCAAGACGAATCGATTGGTCTATACAAAGTATAAATTGTATGAGAATTTATAGAGTTAATGACAATTAAAGCTGAAAAATTCGCATTTTTATCAAAAAATGAGTTCTTTTCGCAAAATTATGTTGCTATATAATAAAATCTTACTCATTTATTTTAGAGGTGTGCAGAAACTCGAATTTTACATGGGTTCGAAATTCGAACCGAACCCATGTTAATTCTTATGGAGAGAATCGAATTTTTGAAATTTGCACAGCTCTAATTTATTTCTAAACTCATATTCTTTGCACCAAGACGGGTCGATTGGTATATATAAAGTATATATTGTATTTAAATTTATAGAAATAAAACCAATTATAGAGAAATAAATTTACACATTTAATAAAAATTCATTTTTTCTTAAAAATCATGTTGCTGTACAATAAAATGTTATTATTTAGGGGAGACTAGGTGCAGTTGTTACAAATGGAATATCTCAGAAACAGTTAGTTATAGAGATGGGGTTCCAAAGAGAAAAATGTTTAGTTTTTATGTACGAACTTACTGCAATATGTTTAAAAATTATATGCAAGCTTTACAAGTAAAAAATAGGCACATTGGTTTTTAGAGGCCAAAAGTAAATATTCCTCTGCCTGATATTTTTTAAATAATTAATAGACCTTTATACTTAACAAAGTGAATTTTTTTAATATCAATTCTATGAGGATTAAGCTTTAAAAAACTGCCTTGGTTGTCCACATTTAATGTATACTTTTTTAATAAAGTGTTTTATTGTAAAAAATGTACCTGTTGTACAGTTGTTACAAGTGATAATAAGAACGGATATTTTTTCCAAAATTCAGCAGATTCGTTTGAAATGTAAAATATTTGTCAAAAATGTAATCACACTCATTTTTTATTAAAAATCTCATGGTTTTTCTAAATTCGTCTTCAAAATTAATGAAAAAAAAACTTTTTTAAGTTTCTTTCATTTCGAAACAATATTAATGCTGTCGTCTCTATGGAACTGTCACGTACTATTACGTTGAGCCAAAAATTATAAATAATTAATAAAAATGGTTATAAAAAATTATTTGTCTTCAATTTATAAATTTTATAGATGATTTTTGGTATTGTAACAACCGATATTCACTTTGTGCAGTTGTTACAATTTACACGCTGTCACTCAAATGACTCTAGTTAATTAAATAATAGATATAGAGCTAAATCAATTATGGCCTTTTAAAAGTAGATAATATACCTTTGATTTAATCGTTTGACCAAACAAATTGGAGTTAAACTTTAATCACAGTAACTGTTTTTATCAAAATTGTAACGACTGCACCTAGTCTCCCCTACTGAAAAATAAATCCAAAATCTTATTCTTTGCAACAAGACGAATCGATTGATGTATATAAAGTATATATTATATTGAAAATTATGGAATGAATTACAATTAAAGTTGAAAAATTCACTTTTTTAATAAAAATTTTTTTAGTTTATTTAGATTCATATTACTGTATAAGAGAATTTTATTCTTTCTATTAAGACGAATGAACTTTATTTTATAAATGTTAAATTGTATTAAAAATGATTTAAAAATTAAATCTACTTGTCGTTAATGCTTCCTCCACGAGGAAGCAAATTTTTTTTGCAGATCGTAAAGAGGAAGCAAAATGTTCATGTAATGAACATCTCGATTTACAACTTGTTTTTGTCTATTTTAGGCGAAACAAAGGTGTTTTGGTCATATTAACCCTTATTTTTAAAAGAAACCCTTGTTGTTAAATGGGTTAATATGACTAAAACACCCTCGTATCGCCTAAAATAGACAAAAATATAAAATTCTTATTTGTAAAAATGTACATTTCAATCATTTAAATCATAAAAAAGTGTATTTACACAGTATAAGTAGAAATATTATTTTTAAAGTAAGTTCTTGTGTTTTAATAGAAGTGGTTCAATGTAAAACACAGAGCCTTCAAAATAAGACACTAGTCTTATTAACAGGTTAGAAAAAAATTAAATTTTATTATTTAATCATAATAATTTGTGTTTGTAACGCGTACGTATTATTTAAAAGAGTATATCAGTTTTATTTTGATACATATGAAACTGATCAAAATTTGTAAAATTTAATTAGTACTAGGACTTTATAAAAACCCCGGTTCAATGGTGCCCACTCTCTCCTAGATATACAATATATAATAGGGAGCTTCGCGCTCCAACCCACTATCTCTACTTTTATATTTATTTTAATTTTTATAAATTTCAAATTATGTTTTCTTAACCCTTAAAGTACACACTTCAAAAACTTACGTTCGATACACACATGGGCGATTTTTACCCTGCAATACTTTGAAACCTTATATTTTTGTCTCAAATTGATGAAATTCAGTCGATTTTTTTTTAATCTATAGGAAATGTTCTGAGGAATATGAAAAATATAGTTTTGTTGATATAAAATTAATTTGTTAAAAAATATTTAACAATAAACAATGGCATGTTTTTAAGAATGGAACGCATTTGAACAAAACACTTTTTGACCTGTAGACAAAAAATATGTCAAATTTAACATAGATTTTGACGTATCGTAAAAGCCCTTATTAGACTCTTTTTGACATGTAGGCGAAAAAAATAGGTCAAATTTGACATAAATTTTGACGTAATGTAAAGGCTCTTATTCATATAAAGCGCTATTTTTAAGGCGCCATATTTAATTTTTAAAAGTACCACATTGTATTTGATAGAGGACATGAAGACGAAGATTTTAAGCCCTTAACCAATAAAATCGAATTAATATATTTTTTGAGGCGGTCTTGTCCCGGTTGACGTGGAAGGTCCTATATATTTTTTTGAACCACCCTAATATGTATATCCGGGAGAATCTCAACCCTTTTCTTAATAAATAGTTGATCTTTCGGTAAAATCTGGTTCATACTATACCCCTGCTCTAAATCGGCAGTGATTCGAGGAAATCTCAATTGATTAAGTAACGGTTCATATCGTCACATGTTAGAAATGAAAAAATTAAATTATTTCCACTACAATCTATATTAAATATATTTAAAACAACTTTTTGAAATGCATAATTTACAATTAACCTCCATATTTTTAATATTAAACTCACACATACATACTCACACACATACGTACATACAAATGTTAATATATAATTAATTGCACTCGGTGTTAATAACTGCTTTTAATACTAATAATTCACCTTTTCCTTTCTTCAAAATAAAAACTGACAAACGTTGTAAGCACTGAGATCTTCATCAACGCCATAGAATAGTAAGGTCAAGATTGTAAAACAGTAGAATTAGAATAATTGTAGAAAAAATGTATTATCCGAAAAAAATGTAAATTCGTCAACAAATTCGTAATAGATGGGAAAATTCATGGTCCCCGCACTTTCAAATTATTTATTTAGTATAGAAGAAAAGTGATTGTAATTTAATTAAGATTAAATATTTTGATTTACTAAAAAAATTTTTATTTAATTTTTTAAAAAATTAATCAGGTTGCTATTGTTATACATGTACAATTATTTATAGAAATAATAATATATTCCAAAGAAATTTAACAATTTATTGTGTAATATCATTTGAATAAAAATAAGAAGTTTTCTAAACCCTATTAACTGCAATCATAATAATATACTTAGTTCTGGTTAATAAATTAAAAAATAAAAAAATTATTTTATGTCACTAAATAAATTGTTAACATAGTCATGATAAAAATAGTATATTCTGTCAAATCGTTGAACAAAACATTACAAATTAGTTTCAAAGTTTGACTCAAAGTATCGCTCTCATTTCCAACCACACAAAAAAAAGTTTTTAATTTTATTACCATCTAAAAAATTAACGATTTAACTTTTGTGAAAAAAATGTTTTGTTATATAACAATATGTTTCATAACTGATGTTACTTAGTTCAGTTTTATTTCTTATTAAGTTCACTATTGAATAACAGTTCTAGTAATAAGTTTATATTATACTTTATAAACTTTCTATTAAGACTGTATTCAACAGATATCTTAATGTAACATTTAACTTTAAATTAGTATTTAAAATTATCTTTTTAATATTAAATTTCTCGACACTTCTTATAATTTGTTTAAAAACTTTGGAAAAATTAATAAAGAATTTTCCGTACTTTATAGAGTATTCAAAAAATGTACTTAAAAAATTTCATCAGTTTGGTTTAACACATCTAATATACCTTTTTCATCGTTAAATAGATTATTGGAATATGTTTTTTTTAAGGATTACTCATAAATTGATGCGGTTCTACTCGCTACTCTGACTACGCATCGAGACGCTATTCGCCTTTATGCTTCCAGAATTATTTCTACGGTTGTAGGACCCAGAGAAGTAAAAGGAATTGAAGATGAATGATAGTCGAGCTCTGAGAGGAAGCCCACGATTTCTCAGTGCCAATAGATGTCACTTGTTTCACTAGTTTCAATAGTATAAAAAAATTTGCTGCTGCTATCGCTGCTGCGGGCAGTGGGATTGGAGTGTGGTGATAAATATTTAAAAATGGGCTAGTTTCCATTTGTTGAACGCTGCGTTGGAGGTGACACTACATCGCGTTCAGTCCCATAGATTTTACCAGCTTTCCTTGCCATACTACCAAGCATTTCCATTGAATTCTTATGAGCCATTCGTAACGATAGTGCCCATTCTTTAAGACTGATTTCGTCCTCCTAAAAAATTAAATATGAATATTAATTTATATACGATGGCATAATTATCTCTAAATACATTAAAAAAAACTTCCGTAGTAATTCAATGGAAGTATCATAATTAGTAAAAATTTGTTTTAATTCATTAATAACAATTTTGAGTGTACTTCCGGATAAGGGAGATCTCCGATTTTAATAAAACTTGGTATACTAATACTTGGTATTTTGATGCGCTGATTACAAAAAAATTAGCAAAATACACATTTTATGTTGTCATCATTATTTGCTAAAATCTGTTATTTTTCGAGAAAATGTAAAAATCCATAAAATACTATAAAAACTCGTTAAAATATACTTTCACCCAAAAGAACATCCAATATTTACAAAATACAGTTTGTTTACGTATTTTGATATCTTGCAGGTAATTTAAAAAAATCTATTCGACCGATTGCTAATTTTCTTTTTTCATCTTACTCTATATAACCATGGCTATGTCTCGAACTAGAATAATTCAATTTCAATCATAACTTTTTTATCTTTAACTTTTTATCAATAAAAAACAGTCCATTTTTGATTCTTTTTTGTTTAAAAGTCCGTCATTTTGTGTTTAATTAACAAAAATGGTTCGTTCTAGTTCTAGCCATAGCCACTGTCATACAGAACAATAATCAATTTGGTTTTTTTTAATTTAGACAACGCCGCCAACGGATGTTATCACCTGCACCAGCCTCCTACTTCTTTTTTTGGTTATAAACATTAACTGTAAATATCTATAACAATATCAAGTTGAAAATAGTGAAATTATTTTTTTAACAATTTATATTAATAATAAAAAGATGTAAAAAGATTTTATGTGATTATATTTTATAATGAAAAGAAAATCCCGAAATATGCTTTCAAAACAGGCACGAACACCAGACTACCCCCTTAAGTATTTAATTGTTTTTTTCAGAATCAGCGAGAAATTGTCCTTTTTTGTTGGGCCTCACAGTATTACCGAATTTAAGAACGAGATTCTCGAAGTACTGAGAATAACAAAACAAAGGTACAGGAAAAGGAACAATATCAAAAAAGAAGAGGTTAATGCGGAAGAGATGAACTCGGGAGGATTTGTTAGATCAAATTGAGCGTTTACAGGCGTTGGATAACGATGAGGTCAGTGATACAGGTGACCTTTCACCAAACGAAAAGGACGACGAATCAATGTTTGATGACACAATGTAAAGTTATTACTTTAGCCCCTTCAGTGTGTAGCTAAAATATAACAAAATGGTCCCAAAATGTGTAAGACCTTCTTGTGAATAAATTTTCATGACACTAGGTACTAAGGGCTTTTTGGGGTCGCTGATTACGATTTCGGTGTTAGTTTTCAAAAATTCAAAATGGCGGATCCAATATGGCGAACACGATTTTGAAAAATTCATTGGATTCGCTTAAAAATCGTTACTCGAGGGTTTTTTTGTGGTCGCTGATTACGAATATGACATTAGTTTTTTAAAATTCAAAATGGCGGATCCAAAATGGCGGACACGAATTTTCCCTATTATTTTCGTAATTAGCGCATCAAAATACGTTAGTGTACCAAGTTTTATTAAAATCGGAGGTGCCCCTCATTCGGAGGTATATTCCCTGACTTACTGGGCAATATTGCGGTAAGCTTAAGCTATAAGTTTCCTATGGTGGGGCATTTGTGTTATTTAGCACTAAGAGAGATAGATGGTTAAAGTTTGATGTTAAATAAAATCCAGAATATTATAAGCAAATGTTCAAAAAAAGTCAATTAAATTTTCAAAGATGTGCAAACGAATTTAAAAAATACTGCCGATCACACAGCACTTGAAAGCCCGAAAGTTAGTAACATTATATTAATATATTTATTTTATGACATATAAATTAATTAATTTAGAAATATAAATATACAGCTACAAAACTATAACCCCATTTTTTTAATGTCTATAAAACCTTAAATTTTGTAAGTGATATAATAGGAATATCACAGCTTTCAAAATCTTCAAAATGTTTAACAAATGAATGTACTTTTAATAAAGTGACATCTTACCGGATTAGTTAGGACTATTTTGGCATCCCTTGTGCGCATTACTATACACTGTTCTCCTTTTACATGTTGAAGATCACTGGCAACTTCTTCTACCTATTAACATTAAAATCATTTTTTTAAAATACAATTATTTTAATTAGTGACAAATATACTAAATCTTATCTACTGTTTCCATAAATATAATCATAACCCAGTCAGACATTACAGTATAAAACTGGAGTTAAGTGCTGGCGCAATTAGACGCCTGTAATATTGCCATGCTACTGAGGCATCATTTTACCAGTACTGACAAAAGCTTTGATTTATTTTTATATAGCACTCTTTCTAGTTTCTCACTTTCTTATACACCAAAAACGACCATGGCTATTAGAAAATTGTTTTATTAACATTCAAAATTTTTTCCAAGATTTTTAAAAACATTCCGAAAACATCTACCTTCTAAATTAAACAGGCCTGCAAAATTTGACTTTTTTACGATCCTAGTACCCAAAGTTTCCAATCACATTAGGATGTTATGAAAAGTAGGTGCCGTCCATAAATTACGTAAGTCACTTTTTTGGAAAATTTGACCACCCACCCCCTTCCTAAGTTTTTTTTACATACATTAGCGCCATTTTTTCTACGGTTCGTAAGATTTAGCAGACCCACCCTTCCCCCCAAATGGCTTACGTAATTTATGGACGACCCCGTAGGGTAGATACCCTAAAACCTCTTTTTTTGGGATATTTACCCCCACTTTTCTAAAAATATTTTTTTTGTCTTACGCATCTAGGGTTTAAAATTACACATTTTAAGTTTTAATTTAAGGTCCTACAGAAGTTGAAAATAATTTATATGATGAAGAAGATTTAGAGTAAGCTCTTGCTGATTTCAATCAGCAGCAGCAGGGAGATAAAGTTGGGTCTGAAGAAAGAAATCGAGAGCCTTCTCAACAATCAATTCTTCAATTAAATAATACAGAACTTTGTGCATCGTGCAATTTGCAGCTAAATTCGAGTGATAGTGTACTTTGTACAAAGCTCAAAAAATGTCGACTTTTTCTGAGGTTCAATTTTCCCAATTTTCCCAGATGCAAGGTAGCATCGAATCAGTGCAATACAAATAGGCGCTCTTGCTTTAAAGCAAAAATAAAATATATAACTCGCGATGCCATCAGACCTCAACATGTTCTCATAAATGAAGACACTATTAAAATAAAATTATTATATTAAATATTTATTTTTTATTTCATTTATTATTAAAACTTATAATAAAATAATAATATAATAAATAATAACAATTTCTTTTACATTTTTTAATTTTTCTAATTGCCGAGATCACTTGGCAATTCCCTAAATGCCTAGACATTAAGTTATTTGCCTGATTGAATCCAGTTGCCACCATTGCTCCATTCGATAAATTAAATTGGAGTTTGATTCGTCAGATCATATGACTCGTTTAGCTAAAAAATTAATTAAATCGAATTGTTTTTTGTCTATTCCTAATCAAAAGGCAGGAAAAACTTAATCAGATAAAATTGTTGCAAGCGTTACAAATTTCTATAAAGATGATAAAAATAGCCGTGTAATCCCAGGTAGGAATGATTGTGTGACAACGAAAATTGATGAAAAAAAGTAAAACTTCAAAAGCGTCTAGTTATATGCAATTTAAGAGAATTGTTTTGTTGCATATAAAGAAGAAAATCCTAATTTAAAAGTTGGAATTTCAAAATTTGCAGAATTAACGCCGAAAGAGTGCGTTTTAGCAGGAACAAGTGGCACCCACAATGTATGAATTTGTGTCTATCATCAGAATGCTAAACTTATGTTCCTAAATGGTAAAATAGCAGAATTAAGTAAATCTAATTCTTTACCATTTTCCTCTGCTAAAGATTGGTTGGCTCAGGTAATCTGTAATCCTCCTTAAATTAAATGCTACTTTAATAAATGTGAAAGTTGTCCTGGCGATGAAAATCTTAAGTCACTATTGGAGGAAGCATATTCAAAGGAATGTACTGAAGAAATCTCATTCAAACAATGGTTATCAACAGATCGCTGTGATTTACAAACTGTAATAAAACCAGTAGACGAGTTCGTTCAGTTTTTAAGTGACCATATGAAAATACTTCTTCAACATGACTTCATTGCTAAACAACAAAGTCTGTTTTTAGACGAAACAAAAAACAATTAAAAAGAGGGTGAACTTCTGATTTAAATGGACTTTGCAGAAAACCATTCGATTATCAAGATTCATTACAGGGACATTATAGTATAGGTGTAAGACTCAAGTCGCTATCCATCCTTTCGTAGTGTACTATCGTACATCTGAACGAGACTTGCGACACATTAGCTTTGCTATAATATCAGACGCATTGGAGCATAATACGATTGCTGTTCACCTGTATCAAAAAAAATTAATAGCCTTCTTAAGCGAAAAAGGAATTATGATGAGCGAGATAATATATTTTACAGATGGTTCAGCAGCACAGTACAAAAATCGTAAAAATTTTGTTAACCTCACTCATCATGAGGATGATTTTGGCTGTCCAGGAAAATGGCATTTCCATGCAACTTCCCATGGAAAAGAGCCCTGCAACGGGATAGGAGTAACCATCAAAAGAACAGCTACGAGAACAAACCTTCAACGCCCTTACAATAATCAAATTACGAGTTCTCAAGAACTTTTTGAATGGGCATTTAACTTTTTGAATGGTTCATTTAAACGAAATTTATGTAGAATTCTGCAATAAGAAAGAATATGAAGAAAAAGCAAATTTTTTAAGTGAACGATTTAAGAATTCCGTTACGATTCCTAGAACACACCAAGTACATGCTCTCATTCCGAATTCTGTAAGACACAAGTGAAGACAAAACCATTTTCGAATTCAGAGGAATATAACGTTGCGACGATTTTAAAAATTTCAGAAAAGGAAGTTCCTCATAAAGTTGGTCGCAAACAATGTCGCAAACAATGCTAAATCCGCGAGAGGGGGTTTTATACAATCACTATAGAGTTGTGAGAAAAGATTTGCGAGTTGCTAAAATCTTTATGTTTGAAAGTTCGACTATTAACTGCGATAAAAAAATGAGAGTCAGTATCAAATTTTTAAGTGCTATATTTTATATTACACATAACTTAAAATATTAAACAGCAATTCCTTTACAACTTCAGATAAATTAGATTGTTTAACAGATTCAAATAGAGAAGCTTACACTTTATCAGAAGTAACAGCAGCATGGGAAATGACTTTTGAAGATCGCATGAACAAATTTAATCAGTATGAAAAGAAGACGAGACTTCTAACATCAGAGACATACTTTAAAAGTTTTGTGTGTTTGAGTTTTCCACTTGAAATTGTTTCAAACGTTTTTTTTTTTTAAAGAATTCCGAACAGGTGAAGGATAAAATAGAAATCTTTGAGAAGTGGTTAAAAACTTTGAGGCAAGAAATTCATCCTTATATTGTCTTTATAGGATATTTGCAAAGCCCTAAAATGTTTGTTAATATTAATAAAGAACAATACAATTATCAAAATCATTTGACAGTTGTCCAAAGCTGTTACAAATGTATCACAGCTTTAAAGTCATTTCCTTTCCTTTGTGACTTTGTGTGGTCATTTATTGACAAATCTGTTTATGCAGTAATTTCTAGAAAAGGCCCTGCCTATGCTACAAAATTATTGGTTGGAATTGGTAAATAATTGAATGTCTTGTTTTATTCACAGTATTTAAAAAATTGTTATTTTATGTTTAAATCTTGTAGTTAAATGTGATATTTTGTTTTTTAAAGAAAGTACTATTTAATTCTAGTAATTAAAGTAATTTACACGTGATACTTTGTTTTAACTTTTACAAAGAATTTAGTGCCTAGTTTAACTGTCGCATAATAAAATAGATTTTATTAACTTAATTAATCACATTTTAACATTTATTTTATGTATGTATGGCTATCCGAATTTATCCCGACAAACAGGGGCCAGCTTTGTCAGTAAAAAAATTCGACACTCATTTTATTGTTACGCGCTACGGTTTGTAGCTTTTCTGGTCTGCGAGTAATTTATTTGTAAAATTAAATAAAATTGTTATTACTCTATATTAGATTTAATATATATTTTCTTAAAGCGGACCAAACTCGGTTTTAGGGGTAGAAACCCTTACCAATTTTTGGAATAATTCGAACGATTATTGTAAAATCTGGTGTAGTAGGGTCTTACGAGTCGCTGACTTCAAATCTATGATCAGTTTTTAAAAATTCAAAATGTCAAATGACAGTTTAATCTTAAAAGAATTGACAATTCCTCCATCTTCCCTACTACACAGAACAAACTGTAGAAAAATTATGCTAAAACTAACATTATGACGGTGCTAAATGCAGCTATATTCACATGGGTAATATTTTATAAGTAGTTTATTATTATTTATATGATAATTATAATATAAATAATAATTTTAATATAAAAATGAAGGGTGACATGACAAAAGAGGTCAAGCGCTAATTTTATGATTTTACAGGAAGCCAAAAAAACACATTCAAAAATTCTCCTGGATATTTAAGAAAAAACCATTTCGAGATAGTATTATGCTTTACCAGTGGTAATACAATTTGTTAAGATAAACCTACAAATTAGCTAGAAAAATAAGTAAAAGTGTTCTGTTTTGGAATTACTTCAAATGGGCATATTTTCTTTTAACATTAATTTAAAAAAATATAAATACAAAGTCAAACTGGGAAATTAGTTTTTAATATAAAGCTGACGAATTGAATGGGAAAAAGATCCTTCGAAAAATTTGGAATTATCTTCCGAGATGATTTTATTTATAATTTGAACAGCATAAGTGGAAAAGAGGAAGCAAAATCTTCATGTAATGAACATTTGGATTCACAACTTGTTTATGAAACTACCTCATTTTCGTAAAATTGTCACTTGATCTCTTTTGTCATGCCATCCATCAAATGTAATATGCAATATGAAAGTAGTACCTGATCTAGAAACACTAATTCAGGACGTGTGCCAGCTGATTCTGGGTGAAGTTCTAGTCTATTTGGATAAAGCTTTGCATAACGTGTTTGCCATGCACTGGCAAAAGGACCACCTAATTTTTTAACGTATCCATTTAAAATACAATCAGATCCTGTAAAGACGAATATCGTTATTCATTTAAAATCACAGTCTCTTCCCCAGTGAGAAATGAAAGGTCTAACCACGTCTAAATGGGTCTTTTTAGACCTCTTAGACATCGAATCAACGTTGGCTAGACCTTTCTTTTTTCACTAGGTCATGATTAGTTGTTAATAGACATTTTTTTACAATATACTAATTTAACAAATATTTTTTAAACAAACCTTTCTCATCTGCTTCAAATCGAACTTTTTTTGCTCTTCTTTTGTTTTCAACCTACAAACACATTGTTTTTAATTCATAAAACAATTAATAATGCTTAAGTAAGAGTAAGTATTTTCAAAATTAAGAAGAATTACAGAAAATTGTTTTTTGTTTTATTTAAAATTTTTAAAATTGAGTTACAGTGTGATTTCATCGTAAATGAATTTTTTAGATAGCTAACGAGAGGTTGTAAAGTCATTCATTTGTTTGACCGTGTGGGATTCAGGGGAATAAATAATTATAATAATATACTGAAAACAACCAGAAGGAAATCCGCACAACATTCGTGTTCAATTATATAATTAGAATAATAAATGATAGTACATTATAATTTTATAAGAATTAAAGAACTAAGAGAGAAATAGTATTTTTATATTAAAAGATGTGTAGTATAAAAATTAATTAGCTGCGAAACATATACAGACATACCTTATCAGCTTCTTGATTAATTGTTTCAAATACTGTTTCAGCAACCTCGGCCTGCCATCTTTCAGAAATAACCATTGGAAAATCTTTATATAGATCCTGATCCGCGTCAGTTAATTTGATTCCCTTAGTGTCCTCTTCGTCAAAAGAACCAATATCAAAAGCATCAGCAGCGTTTACCTCACCTCGAGGTGGAATTAGTGGTGGTGTGTACTTTTGAAGATAAACCTGTTGCCAGTCAATGCCATTAAAAAATGGATGCTCTTTTAACTCATCAGCTCCTCCCCCTCGGCAACCCAATCTATTATTAATATCTCGTTGAAGTAAACCTTCCAAAAGTGAACGCAATTCTCGTGAAAACGTATCTGGTAATTCGACGTTCTAAAAAAATTTATTTGGTTATTTTTTTAATGATTCTAATAGTCTTAAAACTAAAAATACTATTTAAAAAGTGTCCACGTGGATCCAGTAAAAAATTCCTTATATATTATTCTTATTTCTAAATTGTACACCACTGTTTTATTCAGTAAGCATGAGCCAATACGGATTTTATTTTAGCCCATGGTTTCCGGTACCCGACCCAGTTGTGCTTAGGTCTTAAAGCAGATAACGTCAAACTATTTTACCGACATTAGCTAAGTTTCAGTCACTGCACGGAACTTATTTTAAGGTTTTTGACTTGAAAATGACTTTCATGCAGAGTGTACTGACTCACATTACAACTTAAATTCCGTAAGAGTGTGCAACTGCATTTAAGTAAATCGTTTTTCTGTGTACATAATAAATTTCAAGCACAATTGTACCGGAATATAAAAATGCCGATTGCGAAACGAAATAGTGAAAATTTATTAAAAAGTGGTAAAGGCAAAATTTGACAGACCCGACTTCATTTATCATATGAATCAATGTAAATCATAAGGTTTAAATGGAATAACAGGAAACTACTGTACCGACTTCACTGATTCTTATGGTAAATGTAGTCGCGTTTGTCAAATGTTAATTAATTTAATAATGAGAGGAATTATATGAATTATAAATTATCTAACGTATGTTTATATACCTACCATAGTTAGAGTCATTCTGTCAATTTCATGTTTATCCTTTGTTTTATGTTGTCGAAATGGACTATGTCCTTTTAATAACTTATATAACATACATCCGAACGAAAACCAATCAGCACTAGAGTCATATGCTGTGCCTTTTGAAAGAACTTCGGGTGCCATGTAACCATGTGTGCCGCTGAAAAATAATTATTTCTATTAAAGTAATTGTATGAGATGCAAGTACAGTAAGTTCTAGCGAGTCGTTTAACAGCTGATCAGTGTCCGATTCACCAGTCGTTCAATTCCTTTGTACATTTTAAACGGACCAAAGCCATTGAATATTGTCTTTCTTTTAGGGAGATAAATTTGCTTCACACATCCCTGAAATTGACCTGGAGGCGTGGCTTATACGTTGAACGACTTGTGAGTTTTATGGTCTCGAAAATTTTTGCGAATTGAACGACTCGCGAGAACTCACTGTATAATGAACGAGTTAAAATTCAGTTAATATAAGTATAAAAATAAAATAAAAATATCCCACATTAAATAAATAGATTTCTTAATATTTTGAAAATTTGTTTGTCAGAAATAATTATACGCTTAAGTTTTACATTTTGACAACAGTGGTACTACGATTAAATTATCGAAGAGAAAAACGAAATACACATAGAACAACATAATCAACATTCACATACAAGTTGGTACTTACACACTTGCATGTGGTTTTTTTTTCGAGAAATCACAAGCTAATCCTAAGTCAGATATTCTAACATGTCCGTGTTCATCAAGAAGTATATTCGCGGGTTTAAGATCTCGATAAACAATATATCTCCGGTGCATATGTTCAAGACCTAAGATTACTTCTGCAGCATAAAATTTCATTTCTGGTTCATTAAAAACGCCATGTTGACTAAGATGATAATGAAGATCGCCACCATTCATTAAATCCAGTATAAAACAAAGTTTGTCAGGTGTGTGAAAGGCATAAGTCATACATACTATAAAAGGGCAATCAACCTGTAATTCAATCATACTAAGAATGTATTGCAAAGAAAGTGTTTTAATAATCATGTTCGATACAAAAACCTTAATCAAATTGATATTCTTCCGGATTCAATAAAATTGTTTTCCTAAATTTCTAATTCAATTTTTCTTTCTGATACTTTCTATCAAAGGTTAAATATTCAAACAAAAAAATAATATCCATTTAATTAAATTGAAAAACTATTTTCATAGGTACAATGTTATACTATATTCCTGTTCTCCAAAAATATTTTGTTTATATGTATAACTTACCCCGGTACTGACTAGAGCGAGCATTATCCTTTCATTAAGTGCTAAAGTTTCACCCTGTTTCATCTTAATGCGCTTCTTATCGAGGCACTTCATTGCATACATTTTGCCTGTGTCTGCTTTTCGACATCCGTAAACTTCGCCAAAACCACCCCTACCAATTATTCTATGTACGCTGAAGTCATTCATAGTTAACTGAAATAACAAATTTAAAAATCCATATAATATTTTAAACATCATTATTATTAACTGTAAAAAAATAATATTACTATCATTACCTGAATATTTAATTCGAGATTTTTCCACTGGCAAAATCTTGTGTACTTTTCACTGGAATTAATCAAAATGACAATTTTTAAAAAATTAATATAATACATTGTGAGCATATGCGGAAAATAGGATATTCTACATTTATAATACCCTGTTAAACTTATAGTTAATTGATTTCTAATTGTTGATCGCTACACAGTGGGACCAAACTGAAATTTACTGTTAATAATCGTCCCGAGCCCTCACTTCTTAACCGATTTTACTTAATTTTTGTTAAAGAAAGATTATAATTTGCTTCAAGCTTGTTACTCGGGGTTCTTGGAGTCGATGATTATGAATCCGATGTAGTTTTACGAAATTCGATTTAGCGCACACTTTTAAACAAATTCATCGAATTTGCTTAAAACTTGTTACTCTAGGGATTTTAGGTCACTGATTATGAATATGTTGATGGTTTTTTAATAATCGAAGCTCCGGATCTTAAAGGGCACTTGCCCTTAGAAAAATTGTTAGAAAAATTGTTAGAAAACAATTCGTAAGACTTGCAGATTATAAAAATTGATATAGGATTCGTTATCAAAGGTCCCGAAAAACCGCGAGGAATACATTTAAAAAAATCGTTAGAATAATAAAGACCGCCATATTGGATCCGCCATTTTGAATTTTTAGAAACCGACATGAGATTCGTCATCAGCGACCCCGAAAACCCCCGAGTAACGATTTTCAATCCAATCCAAACAAATTTTAATTATATTGTCCGCCATGTTGGATCCGCCATTTTGAATTTTGATAAACTAACACCGGCTTTGTAATCAGCAATCATAGAAACACCTAAGTTGTTACTTTCATGAGCTTACCTATTTTTTATTGCGCTGTGTATGGTATAATTTGTTTGTTTGGAATCTTATGTGTTTTTGAGGTTAGGTTCGATAGATTTAATGTTTTATATGAATTTTCAATTGAAAAGCTTATAGATCGATACCAGGTCGTACGCTTTTTGTATTACTATAGTAATACAAAAAGCGTACGAAAAACAAAAATTAAATGCTCTGAGCTGACAGAGTCCAGTGAGAGCTGTTTTGCAGATTAGAAAATAAGGACCATCTCAAAAATGATTGTTTATCAATTCTACGTCATTTAAACCAGTCAATGACGTTTTTGTTGGACGATAGTTGTAAGTCGTAACCTAGAAATTTAGGAGACAATCGAACACTAGTTATCTATTGTGGACTCAACCTAATGTTTCTTGTGCTGTTTTGTAGTAACGTGACACAGCAGAATAGATAGGAATAGGAACCGACCTTTTAAAATTAATCGGAAAAGGAATTTCAATGGAAAATCTTAGATTACACCGGACAAAATGTTCGCAACTTATAGCTTCTGTTGTAGCTCCAGTTTTTTAAAAGATCTTATACGTAATGTTGGAGATTCTTATTATGCAATAATAGCTGACGAAGTGACAGACATATCTGTGTCAAAGTTCATGGGGTTGTGTATAAGATTCTTTTGCAAACGTCGTCAAAGTTTCGTAACTGACTTTTTGGGTATCATTGAAGTTGTAAGCTGCAATGGAAAAAATCTTGCTTCTGCACTCGTTAATTATTTAGAATCAAATGGACTACCTTTAAATCAACTCCAGTCGATTAGGACAGATGGGGCACCGGCAATATGCGGGTCTGAGAATTCTTTTTACACTCACCTCAGAGAAAAAGTACCACATTTGCAATTATTAAAATGCGTTTGCCATTCACTTCATAAATGTGCAGAATATGCGTACAAGATTTTTCCGGATTCAATTTCACATTTAATACAACAAACTTACAATTGGTTTGCACACAGTGCTCTAAGACTAAATAAATATGAAAACTTTTACAAGGTAACACCAAAAATTAATTATTTTACATAAATTGCATTAAAAGAAAAGTATTGCATATTAATAATTTATTTCATTTTCAGGGCAAAACAAATGGGAAAGCACCAGAGAAATTAATTTCTCTTAGTAAAACGCGATGGCTCATATGTGGCTTTCAGCATGTTGTCAAATTATTGACCAATGGCACGAGTTGAAAGAATTTTTCAAAATGGAAGCTTCCAACAATGATTTTATGGCGAAAATGATAGCTGCTCAGTTTACCGACTGCAATTTACTTTATTTAACTTTTCTAGTGGCGCTTTTGGGCTCCTCGACCAGCTTCAAGCCGCGCTTTCTCGAGACTAGAGTCTGGCAACCCTGCGGCGGCAGTTTACGATCGTCCGTTCGCGTGACAACACGTATCATGACCCGACGCTCTTGTCGCTCGTCGTGTACTCGTTCCAGTGGAGTCACTGATTTTAGGATGCTACCCTACGCCTATCGCAACCGCTCACGTGTACCAGCTAGTGACAGACCTAACCTTTTCGCACTGTATACAAATTTTGATGGAATATTTTTCAACGGTACACTTCGTTCTGCCGGTTTTACCCTTTCATATACTTATGCCCGAAGTAATTGTGCATTGGCTACATTTGGCACTCGTGTCATTTTAATAAGCATTCCTCTTCATTGCAGCAACGATGACATCCTAAATGAAGATGCAATCTCACGGACACTATTACACGAAATGATTCACATGTTTGTTTTTCAGAATTTTACTAACAACATCGATGACTTTGAACCTCATGGACCAACATTTGTGCGGGAGATGCATCGAATTAATCGTGTAGGAAGAATTTATGAACTAAGCGAAAATACCATTAGATGTTGATACATACATACATCGTTCTCGAAACTTCTACGTCTGTTTCAGGAAAGAAGCCAAGTATCAAGATTAAATACGACAACATATTTTTATAAAAAAAGTCTTATTATTATTTCCAATTAATAATTTTTTGCATTTTCTGCGGCAAATTCTCAGTAGTTGAATGAAAATAATCTAAGGATAATTACAATCAGCAAAAATATTTGTCTTTAATTATCGAATAAAATAATTTTCAAAACATAATAAACAGTTAAAAAATTTCTCTTTTAATTATTGGGATTAAAAAATTCATTCAACTTGTGAGAAAATGTTTCTTTTTTCGGATGTCCCATAAATATGGTAAAAATTTCAAAACGAAATTCATTCTTTTCTCTTTAAATTGAGGGAACTTGAATGAAATTGCTCACATTGCGTCAATTTGAAAGAGAAAAAGTTCGTTTTAGTTCAGATTGTTTACTAATAAATTAAAGTTATTATAGAAATGGCATCTTACAGAAAATGACCATAAAGTGTATTTATAATTTTAGTAATTAGTTTAATCAATAAAAATGACATCTTACAGAAAATGACCATAAAATGGATTTTTAATAACTTTGGTTCATCAGTTCATTAGTAAATAACATGAACTGATCGACTGTCCCTCGATACGAGACAACCAAGAGCTGGCTGTCCACTGCCAAACATCATTGCCATCTTTAGTGTGCTGGGATAAGCAACCAAAACCTACGATTTATGGAAATGAGCGGTAAAAAAATGACTACCTACAGTAAAATGCTTCGGATAAATCCCCTTTCGGTTTCGATCGTCAAGCCCATAGCGTGGGAGTGATGGCCGGTGGCCCGTGGATGCAGGAGGGCAAAAACACTTTAAAGCTTCTGCGGATCATCGTGGAAAGAATCCAAGTAAAAAAAGTGGTTGGACCGTAAAGAACAGACACCAGCGTAGATAGTGAAAAGGTAGTGATTCAAGTGTAGGCAGCTGCATTAGAGTTTTCACCAACGCTTCTGCTGATGCTATCGCTATTGACCATCAGGATAGGTACACTTGTATGAAGCTACAAGAATAAGAGGAGTATGCAACATGCTTAAGTCCTGCAAGGTGCTGCTGAACGTCAATATGAAGATTAGAAACGGTCTGAAGAACCTGACAGAAATGGTTAGGAAGAAGCATGAAGCCGCGAAGAAGCAGGATGCGCGCTTCTACCACGGTATGTCCATTTCGGAAGAGATAAGTGAGGATCGGAAGAGAAGACAAGAGCGATTCCAAACAAAAAGTCATTAGAAATGTCGTGCTGGACTGCTCCAGGAAAAAGAAGAAAAGTAAAATGTAGTCCAGAGGTGACCAAGCAGGTAAAGAAAAGGAAGGACACCAAGCAAAGCCTAGCTTTGGAAGTAGTGAAAGTAGTACAGAGGTGACCAAGCAGATAAAGAAGAAGAAGGACATCAAAACCTAGCTTTGGAAGCTTAGTGAAAACTAAGACACCAAACCCAAAACCAGGTCATGGACCTCACCCTACGGTGAGGTCGGCAGCTGAAGGATAACAATGATTTTCAGGGTCGCGGAAGAAAGGTCATTTGCCGAGATGCTGGGAAAGGTCCGTATGGAGGTGAACTCAGTGGCAAGACAGACAAGAGTAGCTGGAGCAAGACCAACTAATAAGGGAGACCTCCCCATTAGGATAGGAGGTTCCTTAGACTAGAACGGGTTTACTGAGGAAGTGACAAGAGTTGTGGGTGACTTGGGTAAGATGCATAACGCGGACCGAAAGGTTACTCTGGAGATACACGACCTGAAGCGTCAGGAAGCAAACAGCTGACGGTCCTTGGACCTAACAAACGGGGATGAAACTCATAGTTGTTGTCACCGTACCGGATCAGGCTGAAAAGCTGGATGGAGATGCTCGGACGCATAAAGGTTGGTTTTGTGTCATGCCCGATCAGAAGGATAGTGACAACATGACGAATAGATCGACTGAGTGCTTTAGGTGCGGAGAAGTCGATCAAAAGGTCGTGGATTGTAAGAGGAACGCTACTTGCTTCTTATGCAAGAATAAAGGCGCTAGCACAGCTCCTACTGCCTGCCTGCCTGCAGGTTGACATGGTAACACATAAGAGTAAGAGAGTCAGAAAATTCAAATTAAATGTTTTTTCTCTCTCACTCTTATGGCGCCTGCCTGCGCGGGCAGGCAGGCAGTGAGGTGAGAGTGTACCTTAAGTTTCCAGAAACGAAAAACGTGCATCACGTTTTAGTGGGTCGGGGCTTTATCTTTCAAATTGACATTGTTGCGCATTTATTAATTAATTATTGTTTATAAAATACAATAAACAAAGTTGAAAAATGCAATTTACTAAATTATGATGTGTTTATATAAAAGAATCAAATCTGATATCTTGACTTCAAAAAATATGAATGCTACGCATTTGTTAACTAATATTTTTTAAACAAATTTCTATTAATTAATTATTTTATACGAGTATTACTTATAAATAATGAGATCCTTTTATTTTCAGAAAAAACATTGTGTTCAATACATAAAAACGGTAGGTGGTTACTTTTTCTAAAAAAAATTTCGAATCCTTTTTTGTCTAAAAAAGCGATTTCGAATGAAATGTGATTTCTAAAAAAAGCTTTTCTAACAAGTTTTCATTTCTAAAAAAAAGTTTTTCTGAAAAGTTATGATTTATAATATTTATTTTCCTAAAATTTATAAAATTCCATAATTTTGTTAAAAGTTTGAAAATTGTTAAAACACTGAAGATTAAGAAATAAAAATTATTTTACATATTTTCTGTTTCTTAATCACAATTCTGTTTATATAAAATTATATGTATCTTTTTGAAAAAGAAGAAAAAATGTTATAAAATTACTATTTTCTTATCACAATTTGTTAACAATATTCTGTTCTTCTTTAAAAAAAATAATTTGCATAATATTTATACCAAAATTAATTTATTTATAAAACAATTTTTAGAACATTTTAAATATCTTTAGGAATAAAATCCCTATAATATTTCTATTTGCTAATTACGATTTTTATTTTAATAATGTTAAAAAAATATTTTTAGAAAATGACTTTTATTAGAAGAAAGAAAAATAGAAAATCACCTTCATTAAAAAAAGTTTTTTAGAAATCTACGTCCATTTGTCTTAAAAAGTCTATCGACACTTTTGTGCATTAGGAATAAAAAGTATCGTAAGTAACACGGGAACAAACGCTGATCAATTTGTTTATCCTGGTTTTTTGTGACACGAGTAGAGGTCGAGGGCTCCTTAGGCGCTCCGAGAATCTACAACGCATGCACAAAAAAGCTCGGTGTTTTTTCCTTGTTAACATGGCAAGAAATTTACGTTTCTAGACTAGTAACTCGTACAGGGAAAAAAACTTTCGCGCAAAAAAAACTGTATAGCTTCAATTTAATTGGCTCTGGTCGCTCGTGTAAAGTGTACGATGATTTCAGAAATATTAGTACACTTTTTGTTTTTAACAGAACCGCTTATAGAAAATGGCATGTGTTACACGAGCACGTAAAGACGAATCAACTATCAAGATTCTTAAATACTTGATAACCCTCGTTCTGCTTGCATGTTTTGTAGAAAATAACAAAAGCACCACGGGTGGACATGTTTGTGTGCCTCGCCCAATGTTTACAGAACGAGCCGCTGTTCTGCAAACATCTCGCCTGGCACAAATACACGCAGTTCCACCCTGGATGCATAATATACTATTCTTTTTCACTAATATAAACATACTTTTTTTATATTGCGCCTTTGTACGCTTTGTACTTGTGATTTGTTAATATAAGACATTATTTTATCTAAACAGAAATATAAAAGGGATATGAGCACTAATGTCCTATTTTCGCTTGCTCTTGAAATGTGCAACAATTTAAAATAAATTGATAATAAATAAGACAAAGAAGCAAAGCAGAAATTTACCTTTCTAGGAACTTTTTAAACGGATCACCCCTTAAATGGTTGAAAATTTCCTCTATGTACGGCTGAAATCAAAATTTTTATTACTTTTTACAACTAGCATAAATAACCGTATATTAGTGAATTGAATTTTTAGGGAATTTAATAATAGATCATTAAAACGATAAAATTTAGTAAATAAATACTTTTTTCTAATACACGCACCGAAATTACACCATTTATACCGTCAACAGTAATAAACATTCTTTCTCGTTTGTACTTTCGGTACACGTGTATTAGAAAAAATAGTATGTGAGTATTCACGTGAGTTTGCAAACAATTTCTATATTTTTATAATTTACAGTTGAGATATAGTGACAGAATCGTAACTTTTTATAATATTAAAATTATTTTTTCAGTAATAATGGTTAAAATTTAATGTTATATCTTTATTTATTTCTTGTACATCAGTCAAGGTCACTCACGGTGTAATGAAGGGTGAGGTATTGAGTTCTTTGCTATTCATTCTTTTTATTAGTGATCTTGGTAATTTTCTTTGTAAACAGGGTTGCAGGGGTCAGTCCGTTGACGATAGGATGGAAATATTAATATTAGACTATTTTTAAATCATATTTATATGGAGGACAAGAAATAGAAGTAGTTAACAATTAAAGTAGTTAACATTAGCTGATGATTTTTGTCTTAGAACTCTTTCGTTTGCCCTCGAACAAGTAGAAATTTTGAATTTAACCTCCATTGTAAAAATGGAGGAAGGATTATCTCAATATGATAATCAAGGAGGAACTCAGAAGCTTAACATCGCTCATAAAGGATGACAAGGAGAAGCACGCAGAAGCGACCAGAAAAAATGAAAAGTTCTACTAAGGATTAACCTGGTTAACCGTTTTAACGCAACAATGCTAAGAAACGTTGTTTTGGAGAGTCAGAAGCGGAAGAGAAGCGGTCCTGAGTTTGTGAAGGACACAAAGAGGAAGAAACCTCCTAAAAGGACTGAAGGCAAGGGTACCAAACCAGCACCAAAGCAAAATTCAGTTAAGGAAGAAGGACAGCCACAACAACGAATAACAGTGATCGACAAAGCGGCTGAAGGAACGTCATTCGCCACAATGGTGCGGAAGGTTCGTGAAGAGGCTGACCTGGAGGCCAGTCAGACAAGGGTTGTGGGAGCTTTACCCACTAAAAAGGGAGACCTCCTTATTAAAATTGGAGCAACTTCAAATAAGGCATCTTTCACCGAGGAGGTGACAACGGTAATCAGAGCTTTAGGTAAGGTGCAGATGGCGGACCGACGAACTACGCTGGAAATCCGCGATATGGATGTCCTTACAGAAAGAAAAGACGTTCTGGATTCCATGAAAAAATTTTCTACGATATCAGCAGAAAGTAGGAAGGTGACGGTCCTTAGATCAAATAAGCGAGGAGTAAAGCTCGCAATCCTGGTCACTAACCAAGAGGTCGCTGAAAAGCTAGAGAAAATTGGGCACATAAAGATTGGGTTCGTGTCCTACAACGTTAGAAGAGGAGTTATGGTCACAAATGTGGAAAAGCCGGCCATAAGGTAGAAGATTGCAGGCGAAAACAGTCCTGCTCGCTTAGATTGGAAACTATAGGTTTTTCTAGATTTTTATATCAAATTTACGAAAAATGGTTTTTTCTATTTAAAATACACTGGGAATTGAAAGAGCTTTGAGCCTTGGTATAATATTATTTTATAAAGAAAAGGGGTAATTTTTTCAATAAACTTCAATGGGAAGGGGTGAGAGCAAAAGATTAATATATCTACTGTTTCCAATTAAGAATGAATAATAGTATTGATAATAATAATTAAACAATTATTTAAACTGAAATGTAATTTTTTGGTGCCAGCACCCAGCCGGCTGGAATGCTGGTGCCGGCCCGGCAGTCAAAAGCCAGGCACCAGGCCGGTCGTCGATTTCTCCCTGGGAATACAATCCCCATATTAGGATAGTATTGACGTTCCTATTTACGATTGTTTTTTTTAATATGATAACTGAATTACAATATATACAAATATTTGTTTTATATAAACGGAAAACAACGAATAGAATATTTTTGTTACTCATACGTACTTTTTGCTTTTGAAAATTATAATTACATGTAATGCCACTTTCATTATACAAGTACACCATATTGGATCAGCGTTTCCGGATTTTGAAATACAAATTATGGGTAAGTACTTAGTCATATTAATCTAGACTTCTTAGTAAGTCATTAAATTTTTTAATGTTACAAAAGCAATTTAAAGAAACATAGGCAGCGTCAAAAATTGGATCAGCGTTTTCGGATTTTGGAATATACATTTTGCATTTAATAATGAATTTATTTTTGATTTAAAATAAATGTAAGAAAATATACTTAAATGATATGTTAATTATCAACATTAGGTTTTCTAGTTATTAAGCTTATCTAGTCTTGATAAATATTACGAAAATCATGAAATAATTAGTTTAAACTTAGTCTTATTAGGATAGAGGAAAAAGTTTGTTTGTTATTAATTGAATTGTTTTGTAAAAATTTCTATTCACGAATTAAACATTAATTCAAAATGTTACCAAGACTATTTATTTAATAACTTTGAGTAATAGATAAATTTCAATAATTATATTCTTTCCAAAAAACATTCCATTATTGTATGTGATATTTTGGTATTTACTATTTTAAAATATTCTATTACAATACAATTCTAAAGCCAAATGTAAATTCAAAAAAGTAATGTGTTTTAAAAATTAGGAAAAATTATAACATTTTAGTTTTAAGTATTTAAACACTAAGCATAGAGTAAACATTATGTTGCTCGTATGCGTGTGAAACCTTTTTGTACTGCCTGAAACTATTATTAATTTAAATTTTTTAAAAGTACTTTTTGATATAATTTGTCAAAATGTCTAAAAATCGTTAAATGTTAATTAAATGTATAACATCAATTTATTAAATGTGTAAATCTACGAGATATTTAGAACTTTTTATTTTCAAAAATATAATTCTTTTTAATACTAGCTAGTTTAAAAAACGAAAAGAAATTTTATGCATTTATTGCTTTCTACTTAGAATAAGCTTCAAAACAATGTAAAACAAAAACGATTCTTTTAAGATACTACATAACAATATCTAGTAAAAATGAATACCTATTAATAATGTTCATGTTTCTAAGTATTCTTTTCTTTTTTTCAAAGATAAAAAGGTAAAACAAAAATCTAAAATTTTCTCACAATTTCCAGTCCTCTTTCCAGAAGCTCCATTGCAAGACTGAGGAAACCAAGCAGAAATCAAGTCTTTACATAAGAATCCAAACTTCTTTCATTTTTTACTACCTCACTATAATCATTGACTCTTGTAAATAAATCTTATAAACTCCGTTTTATAAAATCTTTTTAAAACTTTAGAATCACAAACACAAATTATTTGAAACCAAGTGCAATAAAACCTGAAACAAATAAAAATAAAAGTTAAAAATTACTGAAATATAATTATAAAAATTTTTAAATTTACTAATAATATTATAGAGCGAGTTTGAGTTATACTTCAAAATAATATGGAAAATTTTTCATAGAATATTATCAAAATAGTAGAATATACATAAAACGTCGATATCATTTCATAGAAAGTTATTTTTATAAAAATCACTTAATTCTGAATAATCGTAATGCAAACCAAAACTGCTAATTTAATGATAGTTGAAGTTTATTTATTATTTGAAAAAAATTATTTTGTTATTCTCAAAACCAGAAAACGTCCATTGAGTAAAAAAATTAATGTTAACAAATTTGTTCTAATGACAAATTTTTGAAACATTTTCTTATTTATAATTTTTTGTAGCAGGGTCAGTGTATGATTTTGATGGATTATTTTATCCATTATTTTATCTGAATTTCATATTCAGTTATATTAATGAACTTACTTTAGGAAAAAGAATATACACGGAAAAAATACAGGTTTTTTTCTAAAAAATGCTTGACTTTTAGATAGAACACAATTTCTAAAGTATTTCTTATGCCTACTTTTTCTTATAAAACTTAGTTATATCAAGGAAATAATGAAAAGAGTCCTTTACATTTTATTTTCAATATACGAATATTCATCGACAAAAAATAACTTTTGTCTATATTTAAAAGTTTTTTAACTAAAAGATTAATTGTAATCTTTCTTCTTTGATTGAAATTATTGCTCTAAAATTTAAAAAAATTTATACGAGAATGAATATTTTTAAATTGTTTTTTGTTTTTCTGAGCGCAGCTTCAAACTGTTTATAAATTGACATTTAATAGAAAATATAAAAGAAGAAAATTCTCTTAATTATAAAGGAAAACTTTAGTACCGATATGTAAGAGGAAAAAAAGTTTACCTCAAATGCCTTTTCAAATTCTTGGCATCAGATGATTCCTTAGTATCTCCTGAGTCGAGTCAAACACAAAAAAAAAATTACTTTTTCTAATACTGAAAGCTTAGGTAAAATTCTCCGACTAGGAGTTTTATTTCTCCCATAAATTTTTTAATCGATGATCAATGTGGGAAATTTTAATTGAGGTTTCTGATAACAATTTTTCTTTTGTGCCTTTAAAATCCTTTTCTCTTTTTCTTTTATTTTTTTTCGCAGTTTCCTTTTCTATATTTTACGTTTCTCCAATGCAGCTTCCCACATTCTGTGAGCACTCCTCATTGAAAGAAAAAGCGAATCTGTCATTGTAACATTTTGAAGACCTCCTAATTTCGTTACAGAATCGTGAATAATTTGAAGAGCAAAATAAGAGTTTCTTCTTATAAATTTTCGCCAAGAATTTCATCTATTACCAAAAATACTCTTTCAAATGATGCGTTTCCATGAGACAATGTATAAAAAGTCTTTAAGGCTTTCTTAACATTGTCAGATTGAATTTGTCGTAGACTTGTAAGAGTTTTCATCCAAAAGTCGTCTAACCGATTATCGTTTCTAGAAAACAACTTCATTTACTCAATGAAATATTGATCCGACAGTAGATTTTGGTATTCGCGATCAGCTTTTTGAATTACACCAGAATCAAAGATATTTGATTCCAAAAGAATATCCTAGGAGGTGAGCAGTTTTATCTTTGCGTCTGTTGCTGAAAAAGCTATCTTGGAAGGATTCAAACAGGTCAAAGCTTCTGTTTAACGATATTTTAATGCAGACTTCTCCAGTAACTTTCCTACCAAACATTGCAAGCAGATTCTGCAATTTCTTTTAAAAAGAAGTATCTATACTTAGAACTAACATCTTTACATTTTCACAAAGCTTTTCGTGTGGCATATCCAAGACCGATATCTTTTGTCCACATTAAGTTTTTGTATTTGCCGTCTGACTTCTTTAGTATATAAATTTTTTGCAAAAGAGTTTCTGACATCACATCTTCTTTTACAAAACGAGTCATGCAAATTTTTAGTAGTGTCAAACTACAAAATAAAAAAGACACTAATGGAGTACCAGGAGTACAACGTAAATTCGAGTTAAATAATCGAATCAATTTCCAGTTGACATAAGGTCCACCCATGGAATTTGTAAAATTTTGTTGGTACTAATTTCTCCTAATCCAGCTTTCAGACCTTCAAGTAGATCTTCAGATGTAGTGTGATGAAGGAAAACTGATGTTAAGTACTAAGAACAAACCTGATTTTTCTCGTTATTCCAGAAACGAATATTTAAATCCACTTGGTTTTTTGGAGCTATTTTATTTAATGACTCATCAAATCCGACGAAAATAAATTCGAGATTTTTCACTTGGTCCATTTAATTTTGTTGAAAATAATATGATCAATTTTCAAAGCTTTAAGTAAATCTTGTACTCCTAAATTCAACATGTGTGCATAACACTTGAAATTTTGATCAACTACATCAAATTTCATTAATGTGGATAATTCCTTTATAAATATTGTGTTAGTTGATGCATTATCAAGCGTTACTCCCTGAATTTTATCTTTCAAGTTACTATTGTTTACTGCCTTAAAAAATGCTACAGCAATGTCTCTGCCTGGATGATTTCCATTTGATGGAATGAAGAAAAGAGTTAGTGAATGCATTTTCAAAGACTTGTTGATGAAGTGAGCAGTGACACCAAAATAAGAGCGATTTGATACGGAGATCCAGCCATCGAGAGTGAATGATAATTTTGAAGAATTATTTTGTAAAATTTGAAGAACTACTGCTTCTATTTCCAAAAGTCGCTTTACTGCCTCTTTCAATTTTCAATTATTATTATACGTTTATTTAACTGAAATGAATTAGTCGGCTCTAACCGAATTAAATGACGTCGATGAAGCTTCTGACATTTTTCTATCTTTTATCAACGATGCTTTTAAAATGTTTATTCTACTAAAAAACAATCATAATCCATCATCACGACAATACCCACCGTGGTTTGCAGCTACTATTATAAATACTATTAGAATAAAAAATAACCTATTAAAAAAATAACCATTTCAAAAAATGCAATTTATATTTATTTCAGTACAGAGATACACAAAAGATTGTTAATATCAATCGATATTAGGGGTCATTAAGGTAAACTTTTTTTCCTCCAGCCACCTGTGTTCAGAAATCTACTATTTTCTGATAGTCAATGAAACTCAATTATGGTGCTAGAAATTTTCATTGACTGCTTTTGAAACTCTCATGCAAGGTGTTAGAAATTTTCTAGTTCTTTCCCTTAAATACTATTTAAAATGTTGGAATTTTTATAGGACTTTCAGTCCTATCCAAAAGTTAAGTACTGAGTCAATGAAAATTTCACGTACTTTTTTCCGTATAGGGCAAAGAGTTTCATTCATTCTTTAAAGCTTTCTGGGGTCAAAATGGCTGACATTTTTTGGAGACATTGATTCTTCTAAAAGCAGTTCTTTTTCACATCACTAATCATTTTGTTTCAATTTATATGGAGCATTCAACAGAAGTTAAAGAAGATTATAAAAGTGTCAGACTATTTTTGGTTTTACAAAAACACCTTGTTTATTGTATTTGTAAGACAGTATAGAGATCGAAAAAATCATTACGTAAAAAATGACCTAAAAGAATGTTATTGAAACTCGGTTCAAAAAATAACAAATAATCACTGGTTGAACTCTCAACGGTGGTGAAATTTCACCTTCTTTAAATATTTAACAAGGAGAAATGAAACTGTAAAGTCCTTAGATAAAAAAGGGAAATGTTTTAATTGCCTAGAATAAAAAAAAGATTGACAAATTTATCAATAAAATAAGTAATATGGTTAAAGATGCATGGCACAGTTTTAAGGAAGTTATTGAAACATTCTGAAAAATTATAAAAGCGAGAATTTAAAGGTAATTATAGTAAATAATATGATCACAAACATTTAAAAATTAGAGTGCTTTACGAGCTTAAAGCTTCTTACAAACAGTTCCGCCGTTTTTTATTTTATAAACTGACTTCAGATATGCAATCAGCGTACCTCTAAAACTAGATCACATATAAGCGGCAGTAAGAAAAATGAAACTTAATTTAAACAACATGACGAAACAGAGAATCAAAAATTTTTGGAAATGATTAAAAGAATAAAGAAATAGGCATAGTTACAATAAAACTTAATGCCCAAGGAATTATTTATTGAAAATAAAGAATCTGTACACAAATTCTTTAATGCAGGTTATAGTAATTAAATTATTATGGGAATTTATTAGATTGATTTTAGAGTTCCTTATCCGGTAGAAACCCTATAAAATATATTTTTATTGACTTCTGATCCAAAATGGAGTTACTTGCATAATAGAACAATTTTTTCTAATAGTACAGAAATAAATATCTATAAAATGTTATCATAACAATAATTTTTTATAAAATTTTTTTCAAATTAAAAAATCAATATAATTGACTATCGTAGCATAAATCTAAAAATATTAAACTACAGTTACATGCATAGATACTAAAATTAATTTTTTTAATTAAAATAATTCAAAAGTCAATCACTTAAATCACGTACCCACCTCGAATAAATTGACAGGAACCTCATTTTTCATAAGATACTTGTGTACATGTGAAACGGCATCTTTTGAGTATTCCTGTAATACATCATAAAAATTAGAATTATTTTTTAAAATAAAATAACTTTGGAAACTATAAAAAGACAAAATTATCACAAATATCTTTCAAAAGTAATATATCATTATATAATTGTCACATATAGAAAAAAGAAGTATACACGGAGAAAAATGGACATTGAAAAGTAGCATCTATATATTCATGAGTGAATAAATATATAAAATACTGAACTACAAGACAAACGTCTAGGCACACTGGAAATCCCCAAGATTTTTGATCTACAGATGTCACTGGCTATAGTAGTGCCGCTAACTATAGCTGCATTTATATTTAAAAATTAGTGAAAAAAGGAGAAATACATTTTAAATATACAAACTAAAGCAAAGGTTTTTTCACTTTTTTAAACTTTGTACGACCATAACTATTTACATATATTTGAACTCTAAGCAGCTTCAAAGTGAAATTACCAGGAGTCACATATATGTCACATACTTTGCCTGTGACTCCTTCGGGAGTTCCAGAGTACTCAAATTTAATATCATAGAATATTATATCTAGGTACATTTTTAAAATAATTAGCAGAGAATAATTTTAAAGACAATAATTAAAATTTTATACTGCAAAATAACTTGTAAAATCAAAATAAGTAAAATCTTTGCATATTGAATCTGCTAACTATCAGGATTTGTCCCACACTTCAAATATATTGGTGAAAATGAAATAAATATGTGACGTTTCACGGTAAAAGAGACCTTAAGTGCAAAAACTATATGTAGAAGACAAAAAACATCAAAATACGATAAAATTTGTAGGCTCTAGACAATTTTAAACAGTATATATAGTAAAAAAAAATCCGCTGGTTGATGCAACTTCGCAGAAAACGTACGTGTATCATCGTCAGCATCGTTATGGAAAATCACCATCTCACGGACCCAGCAGAGAAGCTTAAATATCTCGAAACGGAAATGAACAAAGTTCTAGTCGAGATGGCTGGTACGGACAATGATAAAAGAGAGGGTAAGTTTCAGTAAAAAAAGATCTAGGTACGCCACGCCGTCCGACATTTTTAATCGGTTAAGAATCAATTCCAAGTTGATTTAAGTACCTAAATAAAGAGCCGATTTCTGACACTAAAGTCATTAACTAAGGCCAAATAAATCAGATATAATTAAAAACTATATATATTTCCAGACGTACCCAGAGTGGAAATAATGTTGGAAAGCAACTCGAAGCAAGAGGGCCACGAGGACGGTCCCATGAATGAGGCAGATTTCTATCTCGGACTTGACACAACTATAGCTTCCTCCGCACTAATCAAGCTCAGCGACGATATAGCATGCAGAATCAAAGCTCAACGGATTAATCTCCAAAAAGGAAAAAGATTCTATTCTTTCGTCTATTCCCAGAAGCGGCAATCTCTGTCTCGAAGCTCCGGCCCTAAATGAAGAAGTCTCAGTGAACCTTCACCCCAAGGAATTTATCAAAGATGATTTCTTCAAAGAATATCAAAATTTAACTGGCACAGCCCTCTAAGCAAAATCGTCCTCTCTTGACAGCATCCTTCACGACAATGATGTACCTCTGGAAAGAGAACTGGTCCTTTCCAGCCTATCAAACTCGGTCAAAGTTCTGGGTCTCTGGATCTCTTCTTCTCGCTAACTCAAGCTAGAAAATTTTCTATCCTGGGCAAATACGAAGACAGGATCCAAAAAATTCTCAAAAAATTAGAGCCAATGTCGTTATTATTCGGAGATAACCTCAAATCCATAATCGAGAGTTCCAGAGCCATGGACCTGAAGCCGAAGACCAAGATTTCGCCGAAAACCAATAGTGCTTTAAATTGGCGCAGCTCCACCGTTAAAAAAGAGATGGGACGGGGGAGTTACAGGAACAGCAGTTCTTCGAGACTATCCACCTCCAGAAGCAGCTACACTGAAAAAAATTCTGTGTCGCTACCTTACCTACGAATGTCGCTACCACACTGATCAGATGGTAAGTACTATCCCGATTACGGAAGGGAGATCAGCTCTCAAGGGAACACTACCTCACCGCGAGAGATGGCTACAACACTGGTTCTTCGTCCAATCAGCGACCCCGAATTAAAAGAGCATAGCGCGTCACAGCTCACACGCATATACACCGAACTAAAATCTCGGCGTGCTCAATACGAGGTTGCACCAATCTCGAGATATCGGTATGACAGCCTCCCGTCTATTCGGGAAGGCTACCTGCTCTCGTTGACGCACTCGAAAACCGAAGGGCAGAGCACTCGATGCAAGAGAATGTAGCGCCATCACCACTCATGTGGCAGCCACACAGAATTTTTTTCAGTGTACAGACAGAGACCGTACCCGGCAAAGAAGAGTTACGTACGAAATTGGAAAACGATCATACAAGATCGATTTGCCCTTACAACTGTACAAGGTTACGTTATAAACCTCGAATACAAAGTACATCAAACAAGCGAACTTTCCCCTATTTTACCTAACAAGGATTTAGACATAGTAATCGGTAAACTGCTTCTCGCCAAAGCTATCCAAAAGTGTGGATTTACAGAGGCACAGTATTTATCATCTTTTTTTCTTACAGAGAAATCAGACGGCTCCCTCAGATTTATTTTAAATTTAAAAAAATCCAATGAATTTATAGAAAAGAACATTTTAAGATAGAAGATTTACAAACCGCAATAAAACTCGATAAAGAGGATTTCATGTGGAGGCTTGATTTAAAAGACGGTTTTCTTCTAGTACGTCGGCTCTTTTTACCTTTGCCAAGATAGCAAAACCGGTTGCTAATCGGCCAAGATTACAGGGTATCAAACTAATAGTTTATTTAGACGATTTTCTAATTTTTGGTCGTACTATCGCAGAGTGTTTGGCCAACGTCAACACGGCTATTGATATCCTCCAGTATTTAGGTTTCCTAATTAACTGGGAAAAGAGCGAACCAACCCCTAGTAATTCGTGTAAATTCCTCGTCATGATCATAAACTCGAAAGAAATGGCAATCGAGCTTCCACACGACAAGCGAGTTAAAATTAAAAATACCCTGGACACGAGTTTAAAAAACAAAGAAATTAAATTGTAAAATTTAATCAAACTTAAAGGAGTACTGGCAGCAGCATGCCCCGCAATCGCTTACGGTTGGATTTATAATAAAAAACTGGAAACTTTTAACAGGTGCACTGAAGGAAGTAGAATGGTGGCTCTCACAGTGGGACCAAACGACATTAATTGTCTTAAAACCCCCTACAGTCTTCAATTTTGAATTGATTTCAATAATTTTTTTTAAAAGTACTCGGTATAAAATTCGGAACATTTGTTAACTAAACGTCAAGTTAGCAAAACAAATGAATATTACTATTAGTGGTCCGCCATTTTGAATTTTTGAAAATCGACTTCAGATTCGTAATCAGCGACTCGAAAACCCCCCGAGTAAAATGTTTCATAAAAATTCACTGCATTTATTGTGTAAGTAAACAATTTGTTTTTATAGTTTGTTTATAATAATTTTATTAACATATTAACAATTGGTTTATTATTTTTTTAAACTACGACATGAAATTTGTTTGATATTAAACAAAATAAAGCTTTTTTCTCAAAAATGTATTAAAAAAGTTGAAACATTTTAAATGTTAAAACAAATTTTTTAAAAATGTAGCTCCAGAGATCTGTTCCGAATTTTATACCGAGTATTTAAAAAAAATTATTAATATTAATGAAAATTATTATAAACGTCTTATTAACAAAATGAGTTTATTCTAGAATTTATTTTTCCGCAAATAAACAAATTATCCAATTCGCATTTACTATGATCATAAGCAAGTATAAAATTTTTTCACTCAAACTTTAAAATGATAAAATAGTTGTAGAAACCAATGTCTTTTTTATAATTTTATAATAACCTAATTTAAAAGAATTATAATTTTTAATTGTATAAATCGTAAATTAACAAGTGTCTGTCAAGTTTAAATGTAATAAAATAACATTTTCAAAATCTTTTCATTTCAGTTATGTTAACTGGTTTAGAATTTATAATTATATTCTAATAATTTTTTTATTAATACTTTATTTTAAAAAAATTTCCAATTTTGTTAAATTCCCAAAATATTAAATAAAAAATTTTTTGATTAAGGAAGGGGGCTCCAAGGGGCCCCCTTTTTAAATGACAGTAAATTCTAAACGGTATTATATAACGTGATTCTTAAAATACGCCCTGAAACTTTACAAGATATTTTCATATTACTAAGCAATATACTTGTAATACTATGATGTGCGCTTGACACACATTATTCTATAAAGGATTACTTTATTGAGTGGATAACTCGTCTTCACATTTTTCTCTGTGTTGTTCTACAACAAATGTTACTTTATTGATAAAGAATAATGACATATGATTGTAATAACAAATATTCTACAATTATGTATTTTAGATTTAATTTTATTTTTACAGATGTACTTACATGAGAGTGTGCCAATAATTCTTTCATAATAAAGTTATCGTAAACTTCTTTTGCAAGCTTTCTTCTTTCTTCCGGACATTCCAGTTTTTCGTAAGCTTTAATCTGTAATACATACAAAATTTTTATTAAAAAATTAAATTAAAAAAAATTCAATATAATACAAAACAATTTAATTTAATTGAAAAAGTGAAAAAAGGAACACGATTTTTTTCAATTTTTTCTAATCATAATTTATTAAAATTAATAGCCTATCTATTTGGTTTAATATATTTTCTAAGTGATCTATATGTCAAAATGCAAAGGAAGAAATTTTCTCAAGTGTAATCATTTTAAAGTATATAAAAGATAATAGAAAATAGTTGCTCTGATAAACACAAAATAGGCTTGCAAGTGGGTCTTCGAGGTCACTAAGTATGAATAATATGAATTTGGATTTATATAATTCTGAACCAAGTGATACCGCCAAAAATTTTATAGCCTTCGATTTTTGTGAAATTACTTTTAAATTGTAGTATTAGTAGACCTCTATGAAATTTGTAAAAATGGTAGACCTAGTATGACGGACTGTCAAGTTACAGGGGCCCGAATTTATTCGCTTTCATACGGTGATTTTCAATTAATCATAATTTTCTTTTCAATTAGTCAATTTTAATTTTCTATGGGTGATTTTTAAAGCTTTTTCTCCCCATGCGCTCATTTTGATTCTTTTTAAATAAAATATATCGAAAGCCTGACTTTTTTCCTACAAAAATATGTAAAACCGCAAATGGGAATAAAAGAATTGATATTTTTTAGAAGGTATTTTATGCGCGTGAATACGCTACGTCAAGTAGCCGCAGTGTTATAAAGCGTTTAACTGTAAAATAGTAATACTTTAAGCAATTATTTTAGTTTAAAACTATATTTTTCTGAATTCTTCAGAATTTATAAGTTCAATTAGAGTTTAATTTCCTGGTTTCGCTTTTATTGAAGCTCATCAGTACCACCTAAATTTATATTAGTAGTAGACCAGAACGTATGTATAACTGAACAGAACGTATTTACAACTATAAATATATACATTACCGAAAAGAACAAAATTTATAACTATAAACTTATTTACAGAACTTAATTTGAGAAAAAATGTAAAATAATAAAATTCTGTCGGAGTTTTTTTAACGCTTCTGTGTTTTTGTTTGCTTTCTCAATTTTTTCTCTTTAAGAAAAACATCATATTTCAAAGATGTGGAATATTTTCTTAAAATCAAAGTGGAATCAGCAGAAGAGACAAAAGAATAAAACTTTTTAGTACCAGGAATAGATTTCGAAAGAGTAAAGCGAGTTTCCAGTTCATCTGCACATCACGATGCATGATCTTCCTTATTACTAAAAAATATAGTTATTTCAGTCAAGTATTTTTTTTAACATTGGAAGAGATCATCAGCAGTTAAAATAGCAATTTTTAGATGATGCTTGTAGACTTGCTCTTGCAGCAAATCTTTTGATTATCCCTCCGATACCATCACAGGGTCCTTTTCCATGCGCAGTAGGAAAAAAGTACCAGTCACATGGAATACCAAAATCATGTTCATGATGTATAAGATTTGTAAAATTATACTTATTTTTAAAATGCTGCACTGCTCCATCTATGAAGTAAAACAATTTTTCGGGTTCAAAATTCTCTTTCAGAAAATTCGTTATAATTTTCTGAAATCGATAAAGAGCAACTGTATGATTAAGACAATCTGACAAAATAGCTAGACTGCGATATCTTACCTCATTGTCTTTCTTATAATAAATTACAGCAGTAAATATGGTGGTCTGGTTATTATTCCAGTGGAACGATTGAGCTTCGTTTTGAACTATAAATGCGTAGTTCTCAGCAAAATCGCACAGAATAATAAATTCTCCTTCTTTTAAGTTATTTTTTAAAACTTTTAAGAAAAGACGATTGTTCCCTAGCTATAAAAAAATGAGATTCTGATTTCGACAGACGCTCCCAAAGTCTTTCCGTAAACTCTTCTAGTGATGCACGTAGAACCGATAAATGCTCGACATCGTTCGAATGTTCTCGTTTGAAACGAACTTCAAGGAAACGATATTTTTTATTTTTCTTTGTTCTTGTTCGGCTCGTTTCGTTCGACAAAAATCGAATCATGATGACAGTAAATTATATTAGAAATGAAGGGTGGCATGACAAAAGGCGCAAAATAATAATTTCATGATTTCACAGGAAACGAAAATACATTTAAAAATTTCCCTGATCATTTCAGAAGAAGTCTAATAAAACTGTTTCGAAATATTATTGCGCTTTGCCAGTGGAAATACAATTTATGAAGATAAATCTACATATTAGTGAGAAAAATAAGTAAAAGTGGACCATTTTGGGGTTACGTCAAATGCGCATATTTTCTTATAAAATTAATTGTTAAATAAATATACAGTTTAAAGAAAAACTGAGAAATTTGTTTTTTAATATTCAATTGACGATTTTATTGCAAAAAAGTCTGCTTTAAAAAAGTTGTTTGTTTTCAAGAAAATTGTTAATTAAATGTTTACTTTTGAAAGTAAACAGTACCAAAATTTTTAAATGCAAACTACAAACAGGAATATTTAAAAATTAACAGAAGAACAATATTTAAATTGTTCAAAATTAGATAAAGAATGAAACTATTTCTAAATAGACATAAAATTTTTCAGTAATATATTTAATTATATTTTTATTTTTATTATAAACAAGTTTAAAAGCAATTTACAAGAAAATCTTTTTACAGAACTGTGTAAATATATTTACCTGATTTTTTTTTATAAAAAATATCAATTTTGAAAACTTGTCACTTGACCCTTTTTGTCATGCCACCCTTCAAATAAGAAAACGTATCAGTATTAATATATGTGCAACATATATAGAAAATATAATTATTTTTTGTAAATAAAAATTAACTTAACTGTAGATTTTTTCGAAAATTTGTGTAAAAAAATTATAAATTTAAAGTTACACTGTAAGTATTTATTGTATGAATTGATTTCATTTTGAAAATTATAACCAATAGATATTGAAAAATAATATTTTCTTTAGTACTAACTTCAATTTATTAAAAAATAACTTTGATCGACATTTCGTCGAGATTGTCAAATTTATAACGAGCCAAACGATATTATTAAATAAAAAGACGATCATTTTTCTCGTAATTGTAATTTCTCGATCGTCTCGTCCGACATGCATCACTAAATTCTTCTGCATCTGCAATTTCTGTATGCAATGTGCTTCTGTCAGTGTGTTGACAACTTTGGTATTCAATTTTTCCAATACAATTATTTTCTAAAACAGCATTTAGAAAATCTTTGAATGGGCAGATCAGGACATGATTCACATTCATCCAAATAGCAATCCGAAGCAGCATTAGGGCATACAATTTTTGTTAGAGCATACTGATAAGTAAGTATCGGAGAATAAGTATTACGGATCAGATCATGTATTTTTAGAGCATCTAACATAAGATTCACATTTTCGTAATTAACACATACGCATATCGTGTGAGTGCCACTTGATCTAGCAAGTACGCAATTACGAGGTCTCAATTGTTGGCAATATTATTTGCTTGTTCTGTTTATTATTTTAATTTGGAGGGAAAATCTAATTTTTCTATTGGTTGTTTGGGAAAGCGCGCAAATATATTGATAAGGGGAAAGTGAATAGCGCCAAAATAAAAAGAATGAATGTTAGAGAGAAAATAGAGATAGGATGAGTCGGTCGTGTCGAAACTCAGTCCTAAAGAATATTTTATAATTATGTGATGGCAGCTTGCTGTAGTTTATTTTCCTCAATTTTATATTTATTTTAATTAATTTAACTTTAATAAAATAATTGTTTCATTTATAAATTGTGTTTGATTTATAAATTGTGAAATAACCTCGTGTCTAATTGTTATCCAAAAATTAATTGCTAACACAATTGTGAGAATTTTGAAAAGCTAATTCTTACTTCAGGGTAGTGATGTTGATAAGAGAAGTATAATTCAGACAGATTGCATAAAATTAATCTTTTCTGAGAGATTAATTCTTTTCTTTAACTTGTTTTCGAGACCCATCATTATAAAAATTTATAACTAAAGATTCAGTTTCAACAGATAACGTTCTACCTTTTTTTGCATTGGGGAATGTTAAAATGCCACTTTCGACTACCAATTGTTTAGCCTTATTCGCAAGTCGCTCAGATGTTCCGAATTTATTTGCTAATTTTCTACGACCTTAAGATTTAGGCGCAAGGATCAAAAGTAATACTTTCTCTGAATGACTTGTATACAGATTTGAAACTTTTCTTTAATTTGATCAAAAACCTCAATCGCTGCTGATATCGTTCTTATATCACCACAAGATCTATGATAATCCTTTGCAAAGGGATTATAACGTCGATCGCCATGACTTTTTCGTCTTTTCATTGTGTCAGAACTATAAGGGTCAAAATAAGTGAAACCGGCCACTTGAAAAATTTTTGTCCCCGAATTTAAAGTTATCTATGGTTTTTGATAGATATATGAGTAAACTTTTACCCGCTAAAATATTTTGCAAAAATTTTATTTATTTTGAAAGTTATCAGGTGTTAAACTTTTAGGTTAGTTTTTATTCTTTTCATTATTACTCCGAAACGAATGAAGATAATTTCAATTTTTTTTAAATTAAAGCTAAAAGTCTGTAGTTTAAAGTGCAACTGAAAAAATTGCTGTATAATAAAAATTTCTAATTGTTATTAACAATTATTTTAAACAATTGCGATTTAAAGTATGTTCTCAATGTCGGAAAAAAATCAAACTATACTCATGTGATGCGCAAAACTCTAACGAGTAAATTAAAAAAAAAAAGTGAGTAACCTCTAAAATTACAGAAGTTATGCATATTTTTCTGACGACGCGCGGGAATTAACTGATTCGCAAACTCTCGAGCGCGCGGAAATACGCCCGCGCCCGCTCCCGCCGCACTGCTCACACTTGTGTTTTCAAACAATTTATGTTTACAGAGAAGGAAAATTAATTAAAATATTATTTTCTTACTGAATAATTTATTAATATTTTTACTTTTGGAGTAATTATATACATAAAAACCATTTTGTATGTACTCATAAA